GTTAAGGCATTATTTAAAGTCCACAAATTAGCTTGTTAAAGCTCCGGGTGGGTCAATTAGTGGAGATTTCTTATGTTTTAGGTTTTAAGCCTTACTGTTTCCTCAAAAACCCTCTAGTGGTCTCCCACGTGTGGAATCTGGGTCCGGATGTGCCACTTACTTACCTAAAAGTAAAAAAGAAGGATTTTCCCAATGATTTTCCCAATGATTTTCTCCTTCCTCACGATCGACCTTCTTGTGGATGGCAGGAGGAACATTGGTTTAAAATTAAAATCTGCATCTACAGAAGATTTGCAAGAGGGAGGAATGCCTTCCTGCAAAATGAGTTACTAAATCTGACTTGGAAAACTCCAAGGACTTAAACACTACCGTGAATCAAAGTTAACAAATTCTAATTAAACTAAATAGCATGCAATTTAAAGTAAATTTGCGAGAACAAGATGTACCCAAATTAAATTAAACATGTTCATTGTCAAATTAAAATGCTATCTATTGATAGATTTGGAAATTAAACTACTATAGAATTGGAGATTTAACTCGAAACAACACTAAAATTAAATATGAATAGTGATTAAACTAATATGCTTGAAATTGAGAAGAAAGTGTGACTGCCATATAAGTAATCATTTGATAAAACGCTACTTATCATAAACATTAAACTAATTACAGTTAAAAAATGAATGGTACCTTGAAGAAATTCAAAAGCTTGATGTACAATACATTAGATGGAATTGTTGAAACAAGTACTCGAACTAGTTTGTTTACCGGAATGATGAAAAACAACCTAGATCTATTGAAAATTGTGTTGAAATCTGAAATCTATAAGCAATTGCAAATAAAACAAAGTCTGGAATTTATAGGTTTTGAGTAGGGCTAGCAGTGTGTTTTCTTATCCAAAATTTCCCTTTGTTTCCTTTTTTCCGACTGTAACTCCCCACTTTCTGCAGTTTCAAAAATCATGGGCAATTTCTTAACGTAGTGGGACACTTCAGCAGTTGACAAGGTTAGATTGCCTTTCAGATTTAACCAACTGTTCTCTTTATCTGATAACCCACACCCATGACTGAAACCTCATACTAAATTTTAGTTAAAATAGGCCCAATTTAATTCAAAAAGGTAATTAAAAGATAAAATTTTATCTTTTACCTCTTTCCTTCCAAATTAGCAGCTGATCTATCATGAGTCCAAAATTGCATATTTGACATGGCAAAATCTCCTCCATTCATTTAAAATTTTTGACACGTAGCATGATTTTAAATTTTTACAATTTATGGTGTAAACACTTACATCAAGTGGTAAAGAGTTTTTTTTTTTTCTTAAAAGAGTTATCCCTTTTTTGTTTAGTTTATCATCAGATGTGTCAAATACTATGCTTGATCTCAACTCGATGATCCCATTCTCCATAAATGGAAAGTCAAGTACAATGATGCTTATTCTTTCCTTTACGAAGAGATGACTTGTCCACCAAATTATACCAAAAATGTTAGCTTGGTGGTTGTTAATAGGTTATATCCCCGATTCAGTCCCTAAACTTTCATTTTTGAACTAAAACTACCCTCGAACTTCAAAAAGTACTAAAAAAATCCTTGAACTTCAATTTTTGGGACCAATTTCGTCCTTCTGTCGACGGAAATGACAGATGGCACGTTAAGTTGCCACAAAATCAATTCTGGTTTGAAATCTTTAATTACGTGGAAAATAACTAGTCCACGTCATCCCTCATTACTCCGATCATCCCTCATTACTCCGGTCATCCCTTCGGTCATCCCTCATTACTTCGATCATCTATTACCACTCCAATCACCATCTACTTCTTCCCCAAACCTCCTCCCTAATAGAACTCAATAAATCTGATTCAAAAAATCAATTCCTCTACAAATGTATACCAAATCTGCAAAGAAAAATGAAAAAAACACCACATTCCTTCAATCAACATCAACAGTAACTAAAGATGGAAATTCAAGCAATCAGAAACCACACAAAACTCTAAATCCCATTCAAGCATGACTGCAAGCCAACAAAGAAACAAAACAAAAAAACCCAGGCGAGTTCGACTCAAACCCAGGCGCTGGGTTCGGAACCCAGCGCCTGGGTTCGAGGAACGTTCGTGAAGCCTCTAGATTTACTACTATATCAATATGGTAATAAAATGGAAAACAAACAGACTGCTCAACAAGATACCTATGAATCCACAATCAGCGAATGGCATACGACCGCCAGCAAGCAATCTCAGCTCAGATCCGGAGCGAGGAGCCGAGAAGCAAAGCAACGATGACGGCAAAGACAGCCGAGACAAATGATGGCGACAACGAGCCAGCACCAGCTGTCGGGGTCGGAGCCGGAGCATCGGCGGCCAGAGCCAAACCCAGGGCCTAGGTTTGATGGAACCCAGGCGCCTGGGTTCGAGGAACCCGCGCTTGGGTTCCTCGAACCCAGCACGCCTGGTGCCTCCACCCGCGCCTGGGTTCGAGGAACCCAGGCATTGGTGCTGGGTTCCTTCGAACCCAGTAGGGGAAGGGAAGGAGAAAAGGAAAGAGAAGGAGAAAAAGAAAGGAAAGGAAAGAAAAAAAAAAGAAGAAAATTTTATTTATTAAATTATATTTTTGGTGTCCAGTCATAATATTTTTATAATTAAAAATGCCATATCACTCATTTTATTTCCAGGTAATATTTAATATTAATAAAAATTGAATTTGTTAACGGGAAATGTTGCCATGTCAGCACTTAACTGACAGAAGGACGAAATTGGTCTCAAAAATTGAAGTTCAAGGATTTTTTTAGTATTTTTTGAAGTTCGAGGGTAGTTTTAGTTCAAAAATGAAAGTTGAGGGACTGAATCGGGGATATAACCTTGTTAATATGGTATAGCTTTGATGCCTTTTTTTTTTTTCCTTTAGGAAATTTGTAATCAAGAGGGAGTTATTAAATTATTTAACAAAATTAAAACTTGAAACTTGAAGATTTTAAGATTTGCCTTTATTACTACTTTGTCGAGACTTCATTTACATTTTTAATGACATGTAGTTGAGTCTTCAATTATAAGTTTTGAGTGTAGAAATGCCAAAGAGTGAAGTGATAAACGTGCCTTTATTTGGGAAACAAAGTTGCTTAATTAGGGGGAAAACAAAAACCTAGAAAATGCCAACCTAGCTTTGGGCTAATTGATATTATCGGCCAAAATCACAACCTAGGTGAGAAGACTCATGGGCCTCTATCAAGGTTGGGCCTTACAAGCCAAGGGAATAGGAATATCAATTTACTCAACAATCCACAAAAGAATGGGTTGCAAGACTCGTAGACAAGGACACCAAATTTGAGGGAGAGGCAGCTATGTACGATGCATAACCCCAAAATGGAAGCACAAATTGGTTGGAAAGGATGTTTGTCGATGGGGCACATGAAATAGTTGAGGAAGAGTGGAGCACCTAGCCCTTTTGGGAAGGTTTAGTAAGCGATGATGAATTATTGCAAGTGAGAGCAGAGAGACTTGCTCAAGTTTGGAGGAAGAAAGGAAAGCACGCAAAGTAAAAAAAGGCATCCAAGGTAATACAAGCAAGAAATAGAATGGAAACCACCGTGGGTATGTGGTCAAATGGCAGAATTGGGGATAACAATTAGCCGTCCGCCTTAGTCCTAATCTTGGTAGGGAATGGAAGGCAGAATTGGAACGAAGCAGCCAAGGAATTGTGGGTGATTAGTAAGTGGCTGGGCCTGGTGGATGAAGGGAATATGGAGCAAATCATCAAACATCTAGGTGTTTTGGAGAAAAGAGACAGAATCGCTTTGGCAAAGTAAAAGATGGCTTCAATGTAGGTAAGGGTGGAAGAATTTAGGCACCCATGAAGATTGTCTCAATTAATATTAGAGGTCTAGGAAGAAGTAGTAAAAGGAGAGCTTTGAAGGAGTTAATCAGGAAAGAAAAGGTTGATATGCTGTTCATACAAGAATCTAAAATGAGGTATGTGACAATAGACTTTGTAGATCAATCCAAGCTCAGATAATTGTGATTGGGTGGCAAATTTATCATAAGGAAAATTTAGGGGAATTCTTTGCATTTGGAATCTTAGAGCTTTTGTGATAGATAAGAAGCTTCTAGGTAACGGCTTTTATGGAATGTCAGGTTTTAGGGAAAGGATCGTGTCCCTTGCTTTTTCATGAATGTCTATTCTCTTTGTGAGAAACATGGGAAGCGTGTGCTATGGAAAGAAATTCTAAGTTTGATGGAAAAATATGGCAATGGAAATTGGTGTACTAGGGATGATTTTAATGCCATTAAGGACATTGAGGAAAAGAGGGGTAGAAGTTATGACACTATAGAAGCCAAGGAGTTTAACAACTTCATTGTGGAAATAGGTTTAGAAGACACCACCATGATTGGTAGAAAATTCACCTAGTATATGGAGAATGGTATCGCAATGAGTCGGCTAGACAGGTTCCGTTATCCCCAGAATTTCTCCAAAATTTCCTAAATGTAACTCAACAGGGCCTTAGAAGTGACATGTTTGATCATTGCTTGGTCCTGCTTAAACAATCATGTAATGATTGGGGTCCCAAGCTATTCAGATGTCTAGACATTTGGCTCAATCAAGAAGGCTTCAGCACATTTGTTTAGGAAAAATGGAATGGTTATGAGGTGGAGAGTTGGGGTTGCTACAAACTTGAGGAAAAATTGAAGCACTTGAAGAGGGACTTGAAGACGTGGAATAGTGAAGTGTTTGAAAGTAGAGAGAAAAATATAGATGGAGCAAGGGAGGAAATTAGAAGGCTGCATGCAAACTGAGAGGCGAGCACGTTAATAGAGTTAGAAGTGGAGCAAAGAGAGAATTGTTTTCTCAGGCTTTGGGAACGAAATAAGGCTAAGGACAACTTACTTTACCAAAAATCAAGGCAAAAATGGCTCAAGGAAGGGGATGCTAATATCAATTATTTTCCTAGATGTGTGGTGAAAAGAAAGAAGTAAAATGGGATTGAAGGCATGTAGATAAATGGAGAATGGATGAAGGATGTTAAAGTAATTAAAAACTACACTAAGGAATTCTTCAAAAACAAGTTTGGTAAGGAACAATGGTGCAGGCTTTTACTAGAACTAAACAAATTTAGGATACTTAGCCAAGTTAAGAATGACATGCTAGTTGCAACTTTCATGAAAGAAGAAATCAAGGAAACAATGGGGATGTGGCAGAAATAAGAGCCTAGGTCTCGATGGCGATGGCTTAAACTTCAATTTCACGAAAAGAATGTGGCCCATATTGAAAAAGGAGATTTGTGAATTTGTAGCTGAATTCCACCCTAATGGGAAGTGGGTGAAAGGCAATAACGCATCCTTCATTGTCCTAATCGCTAAAAAGGACAATCTTGCAAGTTTATTAGATTATCAACTAATTTGCCTCATTGAATGCATGTACAAAGTTATATCTAAGCTCCTCACTAACAAGATCAATAAGTTGATAGATTCAATTATTAGCCTAACCTACTTTGCTTTCATTGGGGGAAGGCAAATAGTTGATGGCATTGTTATCACTAATGAACTAATCCATGATGGAAGAAGAGAAGAAAACCCATGGCCATTTTTAAGGTAGTTTTGAAAAAGTGTATGATAGTATAAATTGGAGCTTCTTTGATCCCATGTTGGGGAAACTGCGATTTTGCACTAAGTGGCATTCTTGGATCAAAGGATGCTTATCCTATGCTTTGGTCTCGGTATTGGTGAATGAGAACCCTATGAAAGAGTTCCAAATGTCAAAAGGATTATGCTAAGCTGACTCATTGGCCCCTTTCTTATTCCTTATAGTGGTAAAGGCACTTAATGGCATAATAATTAAAACTGTTGAAGAATGAGTACTTAAAGGCATGATAGTGGGTTTAGGGGGTATGTAGATTACACACCTATAGTTTGCAAATGATACAAGTTTGTTTTGTGAGGCTTGCAGAGAAAACATATGGGTTGTTAAGTGCATTTTCAAGAGTTTTGAGCTTGTTTCAAGTTTGAACATGAATTTCTTTAAAAGTTTTCTTTTCGGAATATATATATATATATGAGTTGGATTTGAACGAAATGACTGACATGCTCAATTATATGGTAGGAAGCATACCTTTTACATACCTCGGTGTTCTTGTTAGTGCCAACCCAAAGAAAATTGCCACTTGGGCCCTCGTAATTTCTTTTGGAAAAAGGCAAGTTTTCCATTAAACATTAGATAACATGTACAATTTCCTCCCAGGTATACCCGGGGAATTACACCCTTCAGATTTTTAATCTCAAAAAATTAACTACTTCATTATATACATCATTTTCAACCAAAAACTTACTAAGAGTTACTCTCTTATTTCTTTCCTGCCAAATCATATATATAGTGGCAGCTATTGCAGCCTTCAACTTGTTTAACTGCGTCGATCGACCTTTACATGCCTTCTTTAACCATAGCCATTCAACACTCCACCTTTTTGGTTGTTTGTGAATATTCAAGAAGTCCAAGACTAACCTCCACACTTCTTTAGCAAAACTACAATAAAAAAACAGGTGCTCACAAGTTTCATCATATCTACCACACAAGCAGCACCCTTTCTCAATTCTCATACCTCTACTTGTTAGCAAATCTCTAGTTTTTAGTCTACCTCGCAATACCAACCAAAAGATGAAGCTATGTTGCGGGAAAATGCACCCTGCCCAGACAATATGATGCCATTCTACCTTAGGGCGTTTCACTCTTAGGAACTCATAGCAACTTGAAATAGTAAACAAACCATTCTTTGCATGTTTCCATACAGCCTTGTCCACTTGTTGAGATAGTTTTTGACATCTAATAATCTGGACAAGCATGGGATGTCTTCTCACAAAACTATCTGGAATGGTCCAATCTAAACCATCCCACCACTCACTAACTATAAGGTCATGGCCTCAAACAGCAATCTCATCCTTTGAGATCAACTCACAAAACCTTAACTCACCTGCCCACCAATCATAGAATAGTGACACTTGTCTTCCATCTCTCACTTGCAACCAAATGATATTTTTCAGTAGAGGGCGAAGTTTTAAAACTTGCCTTCATGTCCAAGCACAATCTGTTGGGATTTTAACCTTCCAAAAATTTTCACCCCTCAATAACACCACCTGTGCCCACTTAACCCATAGCAACTTTTGATGTTGACATATATTCCAAACCAATTTGAGTAATGCTGCCTTATTCCAATGCAGCAACTGCTTCACCCCTAGTCCCCCTTCTTTCTTTGGCACACATACATCATCCCATGCTACAAGAGACATTGCATTATAATTCCATTTACCACACCAAATGAAATTTCTACAAGCAACATCAATTAACTTTAACACTCTCTTAGGAATCAATAAAGCTCTACTCCAAAAAACTTGAATGTGGAATAAAACAGAGTTAACTAGTTGAACTCTACCTGCATATGAAAGAAATTTCGTTTCCCAAGAGCCAATTCTCTGATGAATTTTATCGATAATAGGTTGACATGCCCCAGGAGACAACTTTCTTGAATTCAAAGGCAACCCCAAATATCTAACTGGAAGCTGTCCCTCAGCAAAACCCAGCTTCTGAATTAAAGCAACTTTCTGCCCTTCTCTAACACCACTGAAGAAAACTTGGCTCTTCATTCTATTCACTTCCAACCCAGAGACTCGGGAAAACTCCTCAAACTTTTGCATCATCAAAACAATGGACTCCTTATTAGCCTTACAAAAAAGCATAATATCATATGCAAAGATCAAGTGCGTAAGTTGCATCACTCGATGCTTGCTATGATATATAAACTTCTCCTGCATATCTAACTCCTTCAATTTCCTTGTGAGATATTCCATCACTAGCACAAATAGATAAGGCAAGATTGGATCACCTTGTCGAAGCCCTCGTTGCCCCTGAAAATAACCCTTTGGCTGTCCGTTTATCAATATAGAAAATATGGTAGTAGAAACACAAAGCATAAGCCAGTTAATGAATCTATCAGGGAACTTCAGCCCTCTTAACATTGCATTTACAAAACCCCAATCCACTGAATCATATGCTTTTTGTAGATCAATTTTCATTAAGCATCTAGTTGGCCCCCTACTTCTATGATAGTTACTCACTAGATCTTGGCAAATCAATAAATTTGTCGTTATAGATCTGCCTTTCACAAATGCAGTTTGATTACTACTAACCAGCATGCTCAGCACTTCATTAATCCTCTGGGTTAAGAGCTTTGATATCACCTTGTAGATGACATTACAATAAGCTATTGGCCTATAATCACTTACAACATTTGGGCAACTCACCTTCGGAATAATAGTAATATTGGTGGCATTAATTTTCTTGAGGATTTTCCCACTGTCAAAGAAATCCAACACAGCAGCCATGACATCATTTTTAATTATTGACTAGGCTGCTCTATAGAACCCTGAAGTGAATCCATCAGGCCCTGGTGACTTGTTAGAAGGAATTGAAAATAGGGCAGTTTCCACTTCCCTAGCAGTAAATGGCTTGCATAACTCTTCTGACTCTTCAGTAGTTAACACTTCGCCCCTGCGAATAACATTCATATCAACTGCTTGAACACCTTCTTTTGCCTTTCCAAACAAGTTTTGATAGAACATTAAAAACTCTTGTTCTATAAGTGCAGGCTAAGTCACTCTAACTCCTTCACTGTTCAGGATGGAGTTAATAACACTTCTATGCTGTCTCTCCTTTACTTTAGCATGAAAATAAGCAGAATTAGAGTCCATCTCCTTTAGCCAAGTTACTTTAGCTCGCTGGGCAATTACGGACAGATTTGCTCTCTCAAGCTTAGTTAATTCACGCTGAAGTTCCTTTACCTTTGCAGCCAAAGTCTCATCAAATAAAGCATTTTGCATGGAAGCTTGAACATTTTGTAGCTCTGCTACCATATCTTTTATTCTTCCCTCCAAATTTCCATATCTATTTCTATGCAGCTGCTTCATCTTCTGTTTTACCAATTTCAATTTCTGCACTACAACAAACATAGGGCATCCTTGAATATCCACACTCCAAGCTTCCCTAACCAGATCAAGGAAGGTTTCATCCTTAGACCAAGCATTGCAAAATCTAAATGGCTTTGGTTTCTTGTTCATCAATACATCCACAGTCACTAAAGAGGGTGAGTGATCTGAGGATTGTGGATTTAGAAAGATAACAGAAGTATTTGGGAATGCACTAACCCATGTTGAATTAGCCATTACCCTGTCCAGCTTGCACCATAACCTGTCATTTTCCCCTTGCTTATTACTCCAAGTGAAGAAAGCACCTGAAAATTGCAAATCAAAAACCTCCATTCTACTGACAAAATCCTTGAGCTCAGAGGTATCTCCCCAAATAACTCCACTAGGTTTCACCCTTTCACCATAATTTAGAGTTGTATTAAAATCTCCAGAAATTATCCATGGCACATTTTCAACGTCTAGAGCTCTAACTTGATCCCATAATGCTACTCTACCATCAAAAGTATTAAAAGCATAAACAATTGTGCACAAAAATTTAACATCCCCAACTGTAGAGCATACTTCAACATGTAGCAATTGGTCTGTTTGTATTACTTCAGTCACCCTCAAATCTGTTTTATTCCATAATATCCAAATTCTACCATTAGGATGAGAGTTATAATTATTCAACCATCCCCATTGCTTACCAAAAGTTTGCACAACTCGACTACTATTCTCTTGCTTCACTCTAGTTTCTAATAAAGCCATAAACTGAACTTTATTTGAAAGTATAAACTTCTTAACATCTACTTGTCTTATAGGGTCATTCAAACCCCTCACATTGCATAAAGAAAGATATATCATGAGAAAGATTTACTTACAGAAGATTCTCCCCCTGCTGCCTTTTGCATCATCTCTTTATCCCCTATGCCAGTACTAGTCTCACTCTGCAGATTCACTGACTTCATAACTCCCACTTCCAGTTGCACTGGACTTTGCTCATTGCTTTCCACTATCAGTTCTAGAAGTATGTGAAAGTGTACTCTGCTTCACATTTGCTGAATTAGTAGCAGTTTGCACTTCACCAGCACATAATTCATCATTCCCCTCAGAAGACTTCGTGCCAACTATCTGATTTACCACCTACTCCTCGGCAGGTTTTTTTGGAACCCACACCATTTTTGCCTTAGCAGTACAATTTCTCTTTTCATGCCCTAGGTTTCTACATTTACCACATCTGACAGGCTCCCATTCAAAGACCACGGGCTGCTGGAACACACCCTTAGGACCAATAATAGGAACTACACAGGGCAGAGTGTCCATGATTTCCATCTCTACTAGCATACGAGCATAAGCCACTCTTTGCCTTTTAGTTGTTAATGCATCAGTTGCAATAGGAACTCCCACATAGCTTGCTAGCTTTCCTAAGCTCTCAGGGTTCCAAAGACTCAAATGGAGTTCAGGAAATTGGATCCAGACAGGAATCTTACCGATATCCAAATTGTCAAGATCAAAATCTGGAGTCCACAGTTTCAAAATCAAAGGGTGCCCATTAAATGTCCATCGCCTCTCTAGCACCGCCTGCTTTGCATCTCCATTACCAAAATCAAATAAGAAAACTCCATTTCGCAGCATAAATGCCTTTGGCACTTGGAATTCCCTCCACCTGCTATTCACAAAATTAGATACATCCTTAAAATCAGGTTTAAATCCCAGAACATACCCAACAAGAGCATTCTCCCAAATCTTTGACCCTTTAACCCACTCATCCTCAGTAATAACCACAGCACCAATTGGATCTTGAGGTTTTACGTATTGAAAATCCCATCCTTTACTGATATCCCTATTCCCTTCCATAACCGAAGCACAACTACGCAGTGGCTTCTGCTTTAGGGATGGGTGAAATTCCCCTTTCTCCTTCTCAATCAAGTCACTCCACCGAGCACTAGGAGACATTGCCGTACCGGATGGAGAACCAGCATCCTTTTCCCCAAAAGGTTGCTTCATCTAGATGATAGAAGGGTGCGTCTCCAAGCACACTCCTTTCTTCCCCTTCGCTACTTTCCCTTCCATGGGGCCGGCCTCGCTCTTCCCCTTATCTGCTCTTCCATCCCTGGGACCAGCATTGACTCTGCTTTTCCTCTGGCCTTGCGTCGAAACTGTTATGTTTAGCAAAATTCCTTCAGCGTCCCCTTCTTTCCCCCCTAGATCTGGACTCAAACGCCCTGATTCCTCAATTTGGAGACCCATCTGGTTTGGATCGCGAGCAACAAGCTTCACGACCTCAGTTTGCTCTTTGTTGGTTTCCTTAACTGAGATGCTATTTTGCTCCCCATTATCATCTTTCAGATCAATTGTTTTTGTTGCAGCACCACCCTTAGGTGGTGGATCTTTCTTTTTCGGCAAGCCTCTGCCACCCATCTCCGGCATTTCCAGCTAAACCACCACACTCGTATACGATAGCATTGTTGACAGAGAGAAGAAATTAGCACTCGGCCCCCGTAATTGATTGTTTTAGAAGGAAACTTGCATCTTAGTGTTGTGATTCTCTATCCTTCGGTGGGTGGATTGTTCTCCTAAATTCTATCCTCTCAAGTCTCCCTATCTACTACTTTTCAATCCTCAAAGTACCCAAAAAGGTAATTAATTTACTATCTTTAATTCAAAGAAGATTCCTATGGGGTGGTAGTGAAGAGAAGAATGTGGTTGCTTGGGTTGGATAGGAAAAAATTTGTAGGAATAGGTTGGCAAGTGGACTTGAAGTGAAGAACTTAGGTTGCTTTAATTAGGCTTTACTTGGAAAATGGAGATGGAGGCTCTTAGAGGATAAAGAAACATTATGAAGAAGGGTGATATAGGCTAAATATAAAATAAATAGATCTAAGATATGGGAGGGAGGACTTTGGGATGCTAGTAGTTCTAATTGGAGGAAGGATCTATGTAAAATAGACACTTCATTTATAAATAAAGAAGGGTGGTTTTGGGAAAATATTATAAAAATGGTGAGGGAGGGCTCTAACATACTGTTTTGGCATGACAAATGGCTGGGGAGTGATCCATTCAAGGTTGGTTTTAATAGATTGCTTAGTCTAGCAACAAATAAAAGGATGTTAGTTTTTGAAATGGGAGAATGGAGAGATAGGTCATGGACTTGGAAGTGGAGTTGGAGAAGAAATCTTTTTATTTGGGAATCTGATCTTTTGTAGGAGTTACAGGCTACATTATAAAGGAAACACCTATCCCATGGCACTGAAGATTGATGGGTTTGGAATTAAGATCTAAAAGGAAAGTACTTTGTCAGCTCTGCTTATGACTTGCTAACTTCTAAGACTAGTTTGGAGTAGCTTAGAGATTATAGGATGGTTTGGAATAGAAGGGTGCCATTGAAGATATCTGCTTTTGTGTGGAAAGTGATACAGAACAAAATTCCAACGAAGGAAAATCTAATGAAAAGAGGGATTTTGAGTAATTTCGAAGATTTGCCATGTTTGTCTTGTGTGGGGTGGGGGTTGAAAGCTCAAACCACATCCTTTTCACTTGCTCTATAGCTTTCAACGTTTGGTCATCTAGCTACAAATGGTGGGTATTGCTATCACACCCCATGAAAAAGGATGGCAACATTTGGATCAACACTCAAGGCTCTTTACTAATTGATCCATAAAGGAAGCCTAGATGGTGGTCTGGTTTGCAACAATATGGCTTATGTGACTATGGAGAAATGAGGTGATATTTAAAGCAAGTTCAAAACTCAAAGGGAAGATCATGGAATTGATCAAACACCAAACCTTTCAATGGCTTAAAGCTACAGTATGGCCTGAACTATTGATGGATCATTGGTATGCTTCCCCTATCCAAGCGTGTGAATTGGCAAAAAAATTGCAACATAAATGATCTTGCTCTAGAAATGGAGGTATTTTGGATATTCATGCGAGATTTGTTTCTTGCGTCCTTTTTCTTTCTTGAGATTGCCTCCGTGGAACTTCATGATTTGTCTTGCGTGTTTTGCACACATGTAATTTGTTGTAATGTTATGGGTTAGAGTACCTCTTCTATTCTTTTTTATAATAACTTTTTTTGGTTGATAAAAAAAAAAACCAGAAAAATTTCGCCCAATTGTTTTTTTTTTCTTTGGTTAGTTGTCCCTTGTTTTTTAGACTCCCCTTTTTCTGAGTTAAGACCTAAAAAATAAAATAAAATAAAATAATGCTAGAAGCCTAGAACTAATGGAAAAATTCAAGTAAATGTCCTCTGAAAATTCAGCAAAGTTTGAAGTGTAATACTCCCCCTGTCCAAAACTAGTTCTCGTTTTTTTCATTTTTTCCTTAAAATTAAAGATTTAATGATAATATTTGTATTTATTTATAATATTTTTAAAAATAAATAAATAATAAAAAGAGATTTTTTATGATTGAATAATTAATTAAAGT